AATGTGCATTTAATGCAGGGTGCTTTTTGACATTCTGAGGCTTGCAGAGCATTGTGGACTCTAATTAAACAGTCCAGCAGTAGCTGCTCCCTTTTGGACTGTCTGATACTTCATACAGAGCCATATGAGCTAGAGACATGGAGGCTGGTGCGTTCTTCCCCTAATCATTCAGCTGTGCACACAGGGGGTCTGATGACATTTTCTTTACAGTGTTGTGATCCAGTACTGCAGAAAAATAACACACTCTAGATTCTTTCTGCTGTGTGTGGTTGGTAAATATTAAATATTTACCAACCATGAAAAATCTATCCCATCCCATCCCATCTATCCCATCCAATCTATCCTATCCCATCCCATGCCATGCCATCCCATCTATCTTATCCCATGCCATCCCATCTATCTTATCCCGTCCCATCTATCTTATCTTATCCCGTCCCATCTATCTTATCCCGTCCCATCCCATCTATCTTATCCCGTCCCATCCCATCTATCTTATCGTATCCCATCCAATCTGTCCTATCCCATCTATCAGTCCTGGGGACAATGGTTCCTAGGACAGATGGAGAGGATTATTCTCCCCAGCAAGAACTGTTGGGGGCAACAAAAACCCAACTAGTTGCTAATTCATCCCCATTCTATACAAACCTAAAAAAAAAAATGCCCTTTAATCCTTATCCCTGAACTTCATAAAATAAATATGTACACAAACACTACACATTCCCTTTGCAAAAAGTTTGATCATTAGGGTTGCTGTGTGACAATAGTCTACAGCCTCGCCTCTGATCTTTCTCAGAAAAGTTTGTGGCAGATATGTGTTCTAGAGGGCTGGTTCCATGCCTGCGGCAAACAAGGAAGAACTTGGTTCAGTATCAAGGCTGCGGTTAATTCGTAGCTTTCTTCAATATTTGTGTCCCAGCTTCATTAAATTCCTGGGTTTTTCAGGCCTTTTAACATGGAGCTGACCAATTCCTACACTGACTAGAGGTTGCAGAGAACTAGCCGGGGTGGTGGTGGGTGAGACGTTCAGCTTATTAGCAAGATAATTAGACATAAAGCCCGTATAGTGTGAACTTAGAAATACCATTGCCACAGGGCCTTGCCGGGAGGAGGGGGGGATCCTCACCTGTTAATCAATAGTGTAAACCACAGGTGGATTGCTGAGATGTAACCGACCACAAGTCTCTCGTTTTTTTTGCTGTATAGCAGACATTACATTGTTGGCTTTTCTTTGCTATTATTAGAAACTGTTCTATAATGCCGTGTGAAAATCCAACAGATTAGTACAATACTATGATTTTAACACACACAACATCAAGCAGTCTTCTGGCCAGGCCAGTGATGTGATGCCCTCAGAGCGTTATGATCTGTAAGCCCAAGCCTATGTGGTGATCTACCCCATGGGTAGTACTTGATGGCCTGGTCTCACAGGAAGTTGGTTAAAGTAGGTGGTGCTGTCATTCAGCCCAAATGATGACTGGTGGTGGACTGGAGTTTCTGCTACAGACATGGTGAGTATTTCACTGAAAGCAGCCTTTTTTCCCCCCAACATACCTGACTATTTATTTTGTAAAGCTGGACTGCTCCTTGTTGCATTTCAGCACTGATGATCTCATGCAGCCTCTTTGCAGCCACTTCCTGTCTTCATTCACTCCAGCAATGGCTGCATGGCTTTTCTCAGGGTGAGTTTCCTGAGGGTAACACTATTGAAACATATCTGTGTAGCGTGTATCGCTACAGCCGCTTGAAGTCTCTGTTGGAAGTTCATGTGATGAGCGGAAAACACAGGAGAACATTTGGGAGACAGGGGCCGACCAATGTCGCCCTGTGCCAGGATGTGCTTGCACACAGGCTTTAAAAGCAGGAAAAGACTGAGAAGTGGACTGAATGATATATTAATTATCCTGTAACAATGGCACCTGGAAGTGGCTGAGTTATATTAGGCAACAAGTGAACATTTTGTGCCTGAAGTTGTGTGTTGGAAGCAGAAAAAATGGACAAGTGTAAGGATTTGAGACTCTGACAAGGACCAAATTGTAAAGGCTAGACAACTGGCTCAGAACAACTCTAAAACTGGACCTCTTGAGGGATGTTCCCGGTCTGCAGTTGTCAGGACCGACCCAAATTGGTCCAAGGAAGGAACCTGGTGAAGCAGTGACAGGGTCATGGGCTGACCAAGGTTCATCGATGCACGTGGCGAGCGAAGGCTGCTCCGATCCAATAGAAGAGCTTATGTAGCACAAATACATAGCTGAAAAAGTTCATGCTGGTTCTGATAAAAAGGTGTCTGAACAGCATCGCAGTTTGTTGTGTATGGGGCTGCATAGCCACAGTCTAGTTAGGGTGCCCATGTCCACTGCCAAAACTGCCTATTTGAGCATCAGAACTGGACCACAGAGCAATGGAAGAAGGTGGCCAGAACTGATGAATTATGTTTTCTTTCACATCATGTTGATGGCCGTGTGTGTGTCTTGCTTACCTTGAGACGAGATGGCACCAGGATGCACTATGGGAGGAAGGCAAGCCGGTGTAGGCAGTGTGAAGCTTGGGGCAATGTTGTCCTGCCAATAATGTGGATGTTACTTTGACACGTACCACCGACCTAAACATTGTTGCTGCCCAAGTACACCCCTTCATGGAAACGGTATTCCCTGATGGCAGTGGCCTCTTTCAGCAGGATAATGCTCCTTGCTACAGTGCAAGAATGGATTGAGGAAAACGATAACGAGTTTGAGGTGTTGACTTGGCCTCCAAATTCTCTAGATCTCAGTCCAACAGAATGTGAGGGATATGCTTGAAAAACAAGTTTGATTCATGGAGGCCAATCACCTCACAACTTGCAGTACTTAAAGGATCTGCTGCTGACGGCTTGGTGACAATACCACAGCATACCTTCAGAGGTCTAGTGGAGTCCATGTCTTGACGGGTCAGGGCTGTTTTGGTGGCATAAGGAGGGCCTACTCAATATTAGCCAGGTGGTCATAATGTTATGGCTGATCAGTGTGTGTGTGTGTGTGTATGTGTATATATGTATATGTATATATATATATATATATATATATATATATATATATATATATATATATATATATATATATATATATATATATATATATATATATATATATATATATATATATATATATATATATATATATATATATATATATATATATATATATATATATATATATATATATATATATATATATATATATATATATATATATATATATATATATATATATATTAATATAATATATATATTTTTTTTTTTAAATGCCAAGTAAACCATTTCTTGATTGTTCCATAGTCAACCATACCATGTCTCTGTGTTGGGGTTCCTCCTTCAGTATCCTATATGTATACCAGCTTTGATTTCCAGCAGTTTCTGTTACAGTTGATTGTCAGCCTGCTAAGCATGTTTTTTTTTTTTTATAAATATTGATTGATCAATTGATTTTCTTTGCAAATGTTACACCCTTCTAAGATCAATCAACTTACCCAGTCAATGATGCTCAATAGGCAGATGTTTTTTTTTTCTTGTTTTCTTTTTCAAGCTGTATAAATTTTCATTTATTTTGTTAATGAATTGCAGTTTTACATTTAAATGTCATTACCTGTTCCTTGTCGACTGTAAAACTTTGCAGAGCACTTGACGAAAGCGGTCTCTAGCTAATGCTGTGACCCAGAAGTGACCTCTTCTGCTCCGGTTCAGTTCGGCAGATAAAACTGGGACATTAATTAGTTTACTCTCCTAAATGAAAGGGCACCATCATAGGAATCTCTCTCTCCATTAAGTGTCTCCATATTGACCGTCCAGCTTTTGTCTAGCTGGAAACGCAGCAAATGAGTTTCCCTAATGAGCCATCAGCCTCGTGGGGACAGTTATGCATTGCGGAGTGTGAAGGTAGCCTAATGGGACCTCCATTAGGAGCGCTTGTCTGCTGCAATCACCCCCTTCTTTGCCATTAGGTAGCTCTTGGAGTGTGCAGCCTCCAGGGCTTCGGCGTGATAGGCTGGCTGAGACGTGTTCCACTGACCCCTCTGTCTCCCTGTCTGTTCCCTTTCAGAGTTTTCAGGGCATGAAAGTCCTGAGTAAGCGGCGAGGGGTCTTTTATCTCATGACTTGGCTTCTTATATATGTGTAGCACAGCAGAAAGTAACCCATGTAACCCTTTCAGGCGCTTGATTGTGTGTGTGTGTGTGTGTGTTTTTCTGCTTGTAACAAAGGTTAAAGCATATGTCAAGGCAAAATTTTAAAAAAATAAAAACCAGAGCAAGCAAAAAAAATATTTCCACCTCTTTGGAATACATGCACTTTTCCTGATGTGTTTAGTCTTTTAAACATTCTGCAAATACAGAAAAATAATTATTGTTATGCCCCAAAAATATTATGCTCCTATCTTTTTCTTTGATATGACCGTATATATTTCTCAGCACGTGGTGTCAGCCCTTCCTACTTCATTTCTGATGTATTACAAAAAACCCAGACTACACCTCATCTCCTCCCTCCTCATCTCCATAACCCTTTCTTGTGCACAGGTAGCTGATGGTACTGCCCCGTCCAAATCCGAGAATGCCTTTTTATTCACTGACGAAAATAAATACTAGCCATTCTTTGAGTGGCCGGCGTGCCGAGTGAGCAACCTCCTGTGAATGGAGGCCACACAGTACAGGACACAGAAGATCATGGCCAGCACTGTAGTAGCTCTAGCTACTACAGTGCTTTACAGGATCCCCAGTGCACAATCAGGCATGACATATGCATACTTACATTGGGCCAAGCAGGACCAATATAAGTATGCAAAATAATGCATGCCTGGGTTCAGCTTTAATATAACGTAATTTCCCAAATCTGCAGCTTTCAATAAAATATAGTTCTAGAAAGTTAAATATGTGATATGCCATAGCCCAGTGTTTCACCGGTCACCCATGAAAACCTGGTTTTGTCTCAATTAAAAGATATCTGACTGAAGTGAGCGTTGTGCTTTTTTTCTCAGGTGCCGTCATTGGAGATGGGCAGTCTGCTGTTGCCAGTAATATTGCAAACACAACTTACAGATTGCAGTGGTGGGACTTCACTAGATACGATTTGCCAGAGATCAGTAATGGTAAAGTGGCTCTTGCAATGACTGTCAACCTTTTTTTCTTTATTTGCAACTCCGTTGCCTCTCCCGCTTCCGTATGACATTACTGTTTTCTGCCTTTTTCTGCAGCTACGGCTAACGTGCTTGTTCAGAACTGCAAGATCTACAATGATGCCAGTTGTGATATCTCTTCTGATGGGCAGCTCCTTGCTGCCTTCATCCCAAGCAGTCAGCGAGGATTCCCAGACGAAGGCATATTGGCGGTGTATTCCTTGGCTCCGCACAACCTAGGTGAAATCCTTTTCACCAAGCGTTTTGGTAAGCTGTCATCTGAAACTTAACAGACCATTTTTTACTTGTTCATAGTGTTTTAAGAGTGATGAAATAAATATTGTGTCCAGTAGCAACCAGATTTTCCTTTTACATTCCGCTATACCGCATCGCACTGCTCTCTTCAGAGTGGCTGCTGGAGCCCATATCAGCAGACTCTTCTAGTACATGTAGTCCAAGGTTTCCAATGCTGTTGGGCCCCTTTCAGTTTTTTGATTAGTGACCTTGTGGATGGGACAGGAGATAATTGTCCATTTTTGCTGATGACACAGAATTTAACGTGCAACTCCAGACCATTTTTATTTTTCCCTTTTATTTAGAGTAACAGCCTCTGTTGTATTGTCATCTTTGTCCTCACTGGGGAGATTTTTCCAACACCTCCTCTCTCCTTGGCAGTTGGTCAACACAAGGTGAAAGAAACTCCCAGTGTTGTCAATGGTGAAGAAATTTCCCAGTTGGGTGGGACATCTGTTCTGGTGATAACTGTCAAAGGCAGGATTTCCCCTAGTTTTAGAGAGATTTCCTGTTGTGACCTTGGGACATAGAATGAGGATGAAATGCTTCAGAAGGATGGTTTTAAACCTCATCCACATGTTTATCAAAAGCCAATCTCAGAGGTTGCACATCCAATCGTGGAACTGTCCAAACATCAGATAAAGAGAAATTCAGCACCGCTTATGCAGTTTCCGTTGACTTGAATCCATGCATAACAAACCAATACAGACACTCCTCGGCTTATGATCGGGAAACGTTTGCTGGAAAATCCATCACAGCCTGAAAATATCGCAAACCGAGGAGTGTAGTTTTGTGTACTGTCCGTGGTCGGCAGCAGACAGTACACAATGGGAATCACTAGCAACTGCTATTGGCTATTTCAAATTGCAATTGCAGTCTGGCTATTAAATCCCCACCCACTAAGAGGAGGAGTGGACCTGAGAGAGAAAGTTCTCTCTCGGGTACGCTCCTATGCTCAGTGGGTGCAATAGCTAGCCTGCTATTGTAATTTGATTTAGACAATCGCAGTCTTGCTATTGATCCCGGCTGTTAGCCTGCGGAAGCGAGCCAGCAGGTATTTAGGGAAGCGGAGCGCATCGGGGCTGGTTGCTTGAGAGTTACTATTCACTCTCAAGCAACTAGTAACTAATTTTCCGGCACCTACCGATCCGTGGGTGCCGAATAACTAGAAGTTTACTGTATAGTAAACTCCATCGTAAATGCGAAAAATCATAACTCGATTGATCGCAACCCAAGGAGCATCTGTACTTGGAGGACATACAAGTCCTTTTTTAAGCAATGGTTATTACCTTGACGCGGAACCTGCATGCCCATAAAACCTTGGTTAGCCATACACAATTTAAATTCTGTAAGCAGTGCTGGCATTTTCTTTATCTGATTTTCTCCAGGAGAGACTCAGACAGCAAAGAAACAAATCTGATTGAAGGTCTACTATTTCACCACTTCAAAACAGTTTTGTCTGGAGCCCCCACTTCACATATCTTTTAGCGTTGTCTAGCTGCATAGGTGTCTTCACCACTGATGCACTTCGCGTAGTTTGGATACGCAGACATTTTTGTTCTTTTTTTTTTTTTATACATGAGAACAAATGTATTTGGGCATTTGATGTTTGACTGCATCATCTTTGCGCAGGTCCCAATGCTATCTCTGTGAGTTTGTCCCCGATGGGCCGGTACGTTATGGTTGGCCTGGCCTCGCGTAGAATCCTGCTGCATCCTTCCACAGAACACATGGTGGCTCAGGTCTTCCGGCTGCAGAAACCACACGGAGGAGAGACGTCTATGAGGGTGAGTTCATGTTTTCTTCATTGGGCCACTGTTTTCATTTTCTTTGTGAATGTGTCATGGTTGTGTGAATTGTTTACTGCAGAACTTTAGGTAACAAGTAAAGTAAATCATTGAAGTGTTAGAGAGGAGCATGGAGATTGCCACAACTGACCAATCTTCTAGTTGCTCGTCTGTCATGCTCACGCAATACTTTAAGTTGCCAGCCCACATTAACTAGATGAGTTGCAAATAAAAAATAAGGAATGTCCCTTACTTTTGTATGTTTGTCACCCATAGCTGCTCTATACATCAATGCTATTTTTAGCAATTATATTGAAATTAAAAAAATTATGACCAGAAAAGAAATGCAGGCAGTGCACCCTAACATTGGTGGTCAGTGGAAAAGTGACTCTTAATTGATAGTCAGTGAAAGACGGCCCTAGTGCACTGGTGGTCAGTGAGAAGAATACTCCTTTCAGATAGCTGAAAATATAAATGGTATTAATGGTAGCTTATCTGAGAGGCAGAGATTACTCATCACTCAAGTATCCCCTAACCATCTCTGGAGGACAAAACACAGAGAGCGCCTCCATCGTGTAAAACTTTTTAATAAAAGAGAATGAAAACAGTTGAAAATGTACTCCCAAACAGAGATAGATAACAAGCATAAACAGATCAGGTAGAGCAGACTTAGCCAGCCGATTGGTTCTGATGAAGGAGGCGTGACCTCGGAAATGCGTCAACCAAGAAGGACAGATAGCCGCCTGGCTAAGTCTGCTCTACCTGATCTGTTTATGCTTGTTATCTATCTCTGTTTGGGAGTACATTTTCAACTGTTTTCATTCTCTTTTATTAAAAAGTTTTACACGATGGAGGCGCTCTGCGTTTTGTATTTCAGTTCTGTGGTTCCCCTAACCTTCGAGAGCAGCCCTGAAAGTGTATTACATTGAAGATCTTCCTCTCATCTTTGACTCATGTTGCTGGCGCTTATGTGTTTATTTGTTTTTCATCTCTGGAGGAACCCTAGAATTTCATCAACACCTGTGTGAGAACGGCTGAGCCAGACAAAGTAGGCTTCTAAAGCTGGCCATACCACCTATCTCCAGTTTATCTGCAGATTTTCTATGGTCAGATGGAAAAAGTGCAACAGATTCCTCCATCTATGCTAAACTGTGTGGATGGAGCAATCTCCCGCTGGGCCAAGTTTCAGTATCTTGCTAGTCGGCCCCCGCTGGCTGTCAAAATACCTGAACAATGCCTCCATCCAATGAGAGTGTTCAGGTATTTTGACAGCCACCGAGGCCGATTAGTGAGATACTGAAGCTTGGCCCAATGGGAGGTTCCTCCATCCACGCAGTTTAGCGTAGATGGAGCAATCTGTTGCACTTTTTCCTGACCATTGAAAATCTGCAGATAATATATAGCTTTAGAGTGTTGCAGAGTGAGACAACAGCTTCATGTGTTGTGCACCTCTTTGATTCCTATCCTGAATAGGGCCAGTCATTTCTGCAATCTCTTCATTCAGTCAGTTTGATGAAAGTTGTAACATTTTCTAACGCAACTTATTTGCTGGGAAACTTGTGTGCTTGCGTATGTCTGTGAAGCGTCTCATTTATTCAGGTAATGGTCTAGCTACCAGTAGTTAGACGCATTAACTGGACTTGTTCTCTAATGATGAAGACCTTTTACCACTTGTCCTGGTGGCTTTCTCAGAGATGATGAGTGGTGAAACATCTTCAGTATTACAGAACAAGTCCAGTTGAATGTGATTTTGATTATTTCAGGTTATGCTTTCAGAGTTCTATCTTTGCACAGAAGCATCAGACCAATGTTGCAGGTCATCACTCCTACATTATAATTCGCTCTCCGTTATCCATTGTGCTGAATTAATGAACTGTCAAGTACAGAAGGATGTGGTGGGGAAGGGATCCTGAGCAGCAGTATAAAAGGAAACCTGTTTTTACATAGTGTGTAAACTAGGGATGCACTGATACCGATACTAGTATCGGTGCCGATGCCGAGTATTTGGGGCGAGCACGAGTATGCTCCGATGCCTAGCCCAATATTTCGGTATCAGGAAGCCGGACAGCGCTTCATTACACGCTGCCCGGCTTCGTGATTGGCCGGGAAGCCGGCTCCATGCTCTCTCGTCACTTGTGACGAGAGAGCATGGAGCCGGCTTCCCAGCCAATCAGGAAGTGGGGCAGCATGTAATGACGCGAATGGAATTTTAGGTAGAGTAGGGAAGGGTTAGACTCTGTCAAGTTTTTGGGTAAGTGTACCCCTCTCTTTGTACTGGTGACCATTGTCCTCAAAACAAAGTAAGGTGAGATTCAAAATGATAGGTTTATCCCTAGAATAAGAGCCAATGGGAAATCTTCCAGTGGGGATAACTGTTCCAGGGACTGTCTTAGGAGGGGAATTCCCCTCACTTTTACAGATTTCCTCTAACTTCCTGTTGCATCCCTGGGGATCGGAAATTACAGGAAATTTCCCTAAAAGTACACTGCAAAAACTGGCAGAGATTTTAAACCTACCCTACGTCAAAACTAACAAAAAAATTTTGTCTATATATATATACATACATTTTATTCATTTTTTTTAACATCAATCTTTTCCATGTTATTCTGTGTTTGCTGTAAGGGAAGTGGAGGTGTTACCAACATTGCATCTGATTCCAGCTGTCAGGTTGCAAATAAATAAGCTTGGGTTTGAAGGGGATGTTTCCTACATTGAATCTGATTCCAGCTGTCATTTTTCCAGCTCGGGTTTGATTTAATGTAATGTACAGTCTCAGATTTTTGTCTCTTTTGTAGCTGACGATCACCCAGCACTGCACGCTCTTGATCACCACTTTCAGTCTGTTCATACTTCCTGGATTTGAATACACGATCTTCGCGCCCTGCTGCCTGTTAGCATATGTGAGATTCCCCAAAGCCCATTAGCTTGTGCATAACCGTGATGTTTTCAGACCTCCGCTGAGATGCCAGAAATAAATTGGCATGCAGACAGGCAGTCCAGTAACGTAGGGAACACAAGACTGGCTGTGCTTGTATGGGAATGCAAACACATGCCAAGCCGCCCTCGCGCTTTTCAATTGAGTGAATCCATTTCCTTATTTTTACTCATGCCTGCCGTCGAGGCCTCGGTATCCACCCTTTCCCCTTCTCACAGGGGAAACGGTTTTAGATCACGCACACACACACGCACGCACGCACGCACACACACAATGTGTATCTATAATACACACACACCGATCAGCCTTAACATTATGACCACGCACCTGATTCCCATTCTGCTGCCAAAACGGTCCTGAGCCATCGAGGCATGGAAGCCATTAGCTCCCTGGAGGTATGCGGTGCTATCCAGCAGTCATTAGCCGATCCTTTAGGTCCTGTTAGGAGGTGGGGCCTCCATGGATCGGACTTTTTTTTCAAGCACATCCCACAGTTTCTCAATTGGATTGAGATCTGGGGAATTTGAAGGTTAAATCAACACCTCAAACTCGTTATTGTGTTCCTCAAACCATTCTAGAACCATTTTTGCAGTGTGGCAGGATACATTATCCCGCTGAAAGAGGCCACTGCCATCAGGGGATACTGTTTCCATGAAGGGGTGTACTTGGTCAGCACCAATCCAGATGAATGGCACGACCTAAGGTTTCCCAACAGAACATTGCCAAAAGCATTACACTGCTTCCGCTGGCTTGCCTTTTTCCCATAGTACATCCTGGTGCCATCTGTCCCCCCAGTTAAGCAACACATATGCACCCGGCCATCCACGTGATGTTAAAACGTGATTCATCAGACCAGGCCACCTTCTTTCATTGCTACCTGGTCATCTATCATTATTTGGCCCTTGTCAGAGTCCCTAAAATCCTTAGACATTAGCCAATTAACCTACCAGCTTCATCTTTGGAGTGTAAGAGGAAATCGGACGCAAACCCGGAGAATATGCAAACTCCATGCACATAGCGTCCTTCAAGCTGCAAGGCTGAACTAACCACTGAGCTATTGTGCTGCCCACAAATAAGCATTTAATATGACACAAAATTCCCAGAGCACAATGGAATAGCTTCAAATTCTACAAAGCAAACCACAGCCTTCAATCTTCATTTGTCTGACTGAAACCTTGTACTTTGTTGTACTATAAGAGATGAGTCGTATTTAAAATCCTGCTTGAGCTACAGAGCCTGTAAACAAAATGCTTTTTGGAAAAGCTATAGAGATATGCATATGTGAGAATGAGCTTAACAGTCGCCCTGAAGGCTCAGTAACAGCTTGCAAAGATACAAAAATGTTGTATTTATCTGACTTTAAGGGCCCATTCTCGCCAGATTACCACCAGACCTGAGTGTTTCCGGACCCAAAGTACATCCCAATGTATCCCTATGCTATTCCTGGCCTCTGTTCCCACCAGCGCAGTCTGTACCAGACCAGAAAAATACTGCTTGTCCTATTTTTGTCTGGGATGCACTGGAACGCATCAAAAACGCTTGGAACGCACCTGTAAGACAATTTTAAGCTAAAATAATTAAATTTTCAAATCGCGGTAAAAAAGCAATGCCCTATGTTCTAGATCTGGTCCGGAAAATGGTGTGAACCCAGCTAAAAAACTGTACTTTTTTTTTGTTTAGTCTTGACCATAGTAAATAAAAATATATACAAAACCAATACACATTTGCTTTACACATCACAAAAAAATGTATTTTATTGAAAGATGTGAAAATGAGGATATTTTACAGGCAGAAGCAGCAAGTGTAGAGAAATATATTGGAGGAAGATAAAGAGGCAAATTAAAAACAAAAGGTTATAGAGATAACTGTAGTTTATTTAAACTGCATTTATCCCTGAGAACCGACTGTCGGGAGGTGTTACACTCGCTAATCTTGTTTATAGCTATTTGCTGCCCAGTGCGTTATTAAACTCCGAATCTGACGAGTGCATTTGTTCCTGCAAAGACAAATTGCTGAAAACCGCTCCTTCAGAAGTACTTCCAATGCACACAGAACTGTCTTCTCC